GCATACAAGGAAAGCACAGCCTGGATGACAACATACATAGCGGAAACGTTGAAGGTTTCGAACATGATTTGGGTCATCTTCTCTCTATTGGCCTGGGGATTTAGAGGTGCCTCGGTGAGAAGAACGGGATGCTCTTCAGGAGCAACACGAAGCTCGTTGTAGAAAGTGTGATGTCAAATCTTTTCCATATCATCCCAATTGCTGGCGATTCCATGCTCGATTGGATATTTCAATGTAAGGATACCTCTTTTGGATTTTGCCTCATCTCCAACATAAGCATCCTTCTGACCCTTTCCTACCATAACACTAGTGTGACGTGRTCTACCGACAATACTTGGAAAGACCGCCCGTGGTGCGTCATCACCGGCAAACCTGGCCTATAAACTTAATGACAAAGAAAACTGATTTAATTATACCAAAAGGCAACAAATTGATCTAATTCAAAAAGCAATATATATATATATATATATATATAGAGGTTCAGGATAAAACCCCCCAAAAACAGAAAAACTAAGTAACATCTTAATAACCATTCATCCATACGGTATACACATGTACATACAAGTAATGAGCATAACATACAGATGAATGACAATTAGGGTATTCCTCAGTATTTCAAATTTTTATGGTTTTCACTTGAACTTGACCCTACACACGTGTGCACGTGTGTGTGTGTGTGTGTGTATATATATATATATATATAAAGAGAGAGAGGGAGGTTCAGAGGGATACCCAAGAAAATGAAAAACTGAGGAACACCCTGGTAACTATTCATCTGGATGGTATGCACATGTGCATACAAGTAATTAAACCTATTTCTTGGCTTTTATGCACGTGTGCACGCTATGCACAAGTGAATACCGGAAAAATCGCTTACAAATTACTTGTATGCACATGTGCATACCATCCAGATAAACGGTTACCATGGTGTTTCTAAGTATTTCATTTTTTTGTGGTTTTCCCCCTAATCTGATCCTATGTCTATGCATACATATTTAAATGATGAGTTTGAATCCACAAACCACTAGTTCAAGAGGATAGGTTGGTAGCCATTGAGTCAAAGACCACCAACACAAATAATACAATCAACACTAAGATAACTAGAAAAAAAAACAAAGAGTACACTACCTTCACCATTCCAGTTCCATTGTCACAAACAAGGGGCTGAATATCCTCAGTGTCGGCCATTTTTTATAGAACTGTACCACAAACATCAAACATAACATACGCTTTAAACAGATCAGAAATTTCCTAGCTACTATCAAGGTAATCTAAGGAGATAAATTCAACCATAATAAGACCAAATGCATGAACAGATCTGACTTATTCATATTCAAAATAGTATAAATTTCAAAAGGCAGATCCATAGAACTCAAAATCAGATCCGACAATCGTAACAGATATAGCAAAAAGGAAAGCGATGAGTACAAAAATAGCCCATTGAAACAACTAAATCATGAAGAAAAAGGCAAGACCTTGAATTAAAACCCTCAAATATGCCATGTATCCTAATGAGTATCAACTGATTCAGCTTGGAAACTTAAAGCAAATAAATTTCATAAAGAAAACGTAGAAATGAAGCCAAGTACAAAGAAGATTCATGGAGAGAAACAA